CCCACCTCCGCCCCCTCCCTGACCCGTTCCTACCCGCCTTCCCTTATTGTTCCTTAGTCTTCACTCAGCCGGTTCCGTTTCATTACTTGTATCTGAAACTTTCTTTCTGTTGGTGATTTGATCCACAGCCCGGCAGCCTGTGGGCCACATGTCCACAGTTTAGTCAGATATTTACAGCGGCTGCATGTAGGACGTGTGGAGACCCCCCCCCCCCCCAGCCCGGAGCCTGTCAGGGCTGCAGGATGTTTGGAGCACAGCGCTGCATTAAAGAAGGATCTGGGGCTCAGCCACCACTGAAACACAGAGATGTCTGACAGAGGTTCAAGCCTTCAGCCCCAGCCACACACTGGCTGGACAGGGTCTGTCCAACAACGGCCAGGATCTGGTGTTCATAGGTTCTCTGTAAAAACCGGAATGGGACCCTTTTCCTCCTCTAAACTAGCCCTGTAGCTCCGGAGGGGCAATAAAACTACCATTTGTTAAATGAGGAAAAAACCTGGTTAATCTGCTCAAAACAAGATCAAAGAGATTTTAGGAGGATTGAGGGAAGTGTTCCTGGAGGGGAGAGGCCTCGGCATAATTCCCCCCATCCGGCCCGGCCCTGGGGGGGGGACAAGTGATAAGGTTTGGTCATTAGGTGCCATGGAGTGGTCTTCTGTTTGATGACCTTATCTGAGGATCAGCTGACATGGAACTCACAGGAACACCAGAAACCTCTAGTCTTAGGTTTGGTGACCTCTCCAGTGAGAGACCAGGTCCTCCAGATCTGGTCTGGACCTCCAGATCTGGCCAAGAGGCCGGGGCTGGGATTGATTACATGTAGTATCTGCCTGGGGAAGCATGGGACTTGGGGCTAGGGGGAGTGTTTCCATCCCAGACTGAGGCTGCTAGCTGCATTCCTGCAGCCTGCCCCCCTACCCCAACCCCCACCCCCCCACTATGAAAGGGCCCTTTGAAAGCGGAGGCCCGGCCAGAGCTCCATCTTCTGGGGTTTGACGGAGGGCCTCCTGGCACACCTCAACACTTTCCTTCCCTCTCCGTGAGCACTGCTGCTGCTGAGTGTGTTTGTGAGTCTGTGTGTGTCTTTATTGCCCGGCCCGTTAGCAGCCCTCACAGTGAGCACCGCACAGACACAACGTCCCCACAAAGAGCGGAAAACCAAAAAGGAAAAACGGGGCTGGAAGCCCCACCGCTGCCCTGCAGAGGCTAATGAGCTGTTACAGGACATGAAAACACACTCATGTTTCACTGGACTGCTTAAGAAGGGGAACGTCTGCTAGCAGGAGCTGGGGACGACAACACAAAGCCAGAGTGCTGGTCTCTGGTCAGGCCGGTCAGGCTGGGCCCTCCCAGAGTCGGAGGGGGGTCACACCAGGCTCCCGGTGGAGACCCCGGCCCATCTGAAACAGGACGGGGGCTTTGGGGGCATGCCTGTGTGCAGGTTAGCTTGTCCATTTTGCTGACACACACACTGGTATCAACACATTCTGGGGCCTGACTTACACTGACTTTAGCCAGGAAAGCTCCCCCCAGCTAAATGCCTCACAAGGTGAGGGATGGCTGGTGGAGGTCCTTCAGGTGGGTTTCGGTAGGTCATTTATAAATGGAGAAGTGTTCCCCTCTAGGTGCTTTTGACCAGAAATAAATGTATAAAAATAAAGCCAGCTCAGTCCACTGATAGAGCTGCTTTTAGCTCTGATCGGGGTTTAAAGCGGAGGCACAAAAGGTTTCTCCAATCTAAATGAGTCAAATCCTGGTCAAGCGCCCTCCTTTGGGTATCTGATTGGAGCACTGTGTGTCTCTGCCCTCCCGCCCTGGGCAGCGTTTCAGCTTACTGCCCGGGGGGGGGGGGGGGGG